AATTAATAAGCACAGTACATATATTTCAGGTGTTGAATAGCTTTTTAATAGACAGTATTTTCAGGTAACTCTCTAGCCACATAGGCAGCTGTACTGAAGCATACTGGTACCAGCCAGCAATAATGGCACCTGCAGGAATGAACCTGAAAATACTGATAATCTTGTATATTTTTTAAGTTCTTTAAAGAGATTTTTAAAAACAGAAAATGAGATTTGATCACTGAAGATCTTTATCTTCTGCAACACAGGTTGCAATAGTCTTTTTTTCTTTGTTTCACTTATTAAATAAAAGGGAATTTGGGTGCCATCTTTCTGTAAACTTTTAGTGTGTTCTCTGTAATATTTCCCAGGTCTCTTAGTGGATAATGCAGTGAATTTCTGCTGGCAGTTTGAAACTAACATAGAACATGTGGCATAGCCTATGTCACTAATACTTTTCCAAGTTTAAATGTGTTTTCAAACATGTAGAATACTAGCTTGCTACTGCAGAATTCCATACTTCTAGCTTAGCTTAATTTTGTAGGTGGGCTTAACTTGTGCAGAACACTTCTCCATGTACAGAGGCTCAGTCCTCTTTCTTAAATAGAAAGAGGAAGTGTCTTGGAGGAAGAAATTGTATGTCAAGTTAACTCCTGTTCATACTTCATAGCCAACCATCCATAAAGCACCGTGGTTTGTGTTTAGAATGGAGGTTGCATTTTTCTCATGGATGCTCTTTCTAGATATACCAGAATTGCCAAATGAAGATAGGGGTATCATAGGAGAAGATAACTATTTTGTGGTATCAGAAGTTAGACTAAATGAAATCCTTTGAGCCAACTTCTTCAAGCAAAAAGAGAATTTATAAAACAAATTTAGCCCAGCGGTTACCCATGGTCACCTAATTCTTAGTGGGTATTCTGTAGAACACTTTGCATGGTTTTAAACCCTGTTAAATATAGTTTCTTTTGTGTGATAGGTAAGCAGTAGTATCCTTTGTTAATGCTTATTGCCTTCAATAAAAAACCTGGGGAATAAGCTACTTCAGGATGTTAGTGAAGATATCCTCCTTTTGAAAAGTACAATATAACAGCAAAGGAGAAGTATTAGTTATAGATTCTTAAAAATTACCTTAGTACTTAAAAACCAGGCTAGAAAATACTTCTTATACTGAACTTCTGATGGCATGCTTATACGGATTAGTGGAGGAAATTATTGGTGTCACTAGGAACTATGTACTCCCATTGCACACGTTTTACATGGTAACAGTGAAAGAATGTCTCCCTGCAAATTCTGATGTTTTTCCAAAAGGCAGCTTGCTTTTATATCTATGCATCTTTGAGGATTTCAAGATAAGATTTTATTCTTTTGACACTGTAAAGAGGAACTGTTTAAAAATGAACTTGGAAACTCTGCACCTGTATACAAATTTTTTTAGCAATAAAGCAGCACAGGCTGAGAATGCACTAAAACTGAATGTGTCATTTGTTCAGAAGACAAATTAACCAACTTGCTATACCTTATGTTCCACTTCTGAGATGTGTTTGTACTTGCTGTACTTTTGTCAAAACTTAACAATTTGAGCTAAACTCACATATGCTGGATATCTGCTTTGGGTCCAGCTGTTCCAGCAGACTTCAGGCACAAAAGCCTCTGACTTCTTGGAAGGCAACTAAAGAAAAATTGTTACTCCACTCATACTAAGATGGGCAACTTACCAGATAAAAGATGGCAGCAGAAAGCTGCTGTTGCTTGTATAGATTGCCTAGAAGTAATAAGCGCCTCAGAAAACTGTTTTATGTATGTGGATTGTTCATGGTTTTGGCAACTACATTTCTGAAAAATACCTTCTGTGGTTGGCATGTCACAACCTGCAGGGAGGCACAACTTTCCTTGCAATTGCTGCTGAAAGCAGTTCTGGGAAGCACTGTTAACGCAGCAGCACACCACTACCTCACAAGGACTGCACTGAAGAAGCCACGGCTCCCAACCCTGCTACAAGCTTTCCAAAACCTGTTATGGATTGCTAACCCTTATGCTAGCTTATAGAAGATCCACAGTATGATTGTTAATTCAGTAGCCTGTTCAAACACCTTAATTTGTTTCATTTTCTAGTTGTTTTTGTCTTTAGACAGCTGCTGGTTAGCTAGCATAAGAAGGCCTGACCTTGAGACTTGCTTTCTAAGTGGTTGGTATTCATTTAAATAGAGAATCCATCCCTCCCCAGCCAGACTGGCCCTTGCTGCACTTCAAGCTAGAATACATCTTTCAACAATGCCTAGTTAGAGGAGGTTAGGTTTTACACTAGAATAAGAAAAAGAAACATTCACTGATCAATTGCAGATCAAGAGGAATTTGAATCTGGGACAGGCAGTGGGATGAAGCACTGAATCTTTCAGGAATAAGAGTTTGTAAGCATTACTTAAAACGTACCCGTAGGGTTAAGTTGATACCTTAGTAAACATTCATCTCAAATGACTGAAGATAATGCATTTATTTTATGTGGCTTGCTGCTTAAAACAGAATTTACTTGGAACACTACTGCTCTGAGTGTCATCAGGTCCATCAGGCAATAGTGCCAAGAAAACACATCCTTTAACAAATAGACATGAAGGACCACAGCTTGACTCAACAGAGCAGAGGTCCTCCCAGTTCCAAAGATTAAAGTAGTTTAAAAATTTACCAGCTATTATTTAGCACTTATTTGTTTAAATTCATGCTAAGTAATACAATATGAGGAACCATTAATTTAATGCTTCCTAATGAACCAGGGCCCAAGCAAGATAAAGTGGTGGGTTGTTTCTGCAAACATAATCTAAGGAAAAGAGTAGGCTTATGACTCTCATGAAATTATCAGTGATCTGTACAATATATATTTCTGAATTTCAGGGTTTTTTTATTTACAACTGTAAAGATAATATAAAAAAAATGTGACCAACAGCTTTCTTTTCCTTTTAGGGGTGGACACTTAGCTAAATGAAGCAAGACAACTTAGCACTATCATACACAGTATAGATGTAAAGTGTACAGCAAGAAACAGTCTCAATGCAGAAACCAGAATGAAGGGGCAAAAGTGAGTAGTCCCACTATCAATCACATTTCTTAGACTGATGCAACAAAAGGGCCGTCACTTAGAAAGTAACACAAAGGTACCTGAGACGGGGAGATGCTTGCACAAAATGAGCTTAGTCACAAGACCCCAATTAAAAACCAACAGGCCCTTTAACATAATGCAGAACTCACTGCACAACACAACTTTAAAAACTTTGTTCTTAATAATGAAATACAGGAAATCCAAACTTTACATGCATATACAGTGACAACTGTTATGAACAACCTTCCAGTTAAGGGTTCAGGATAGAGCTCATTTCAGAGAAGATTACAGGCAATGAAACAGATCTTACAGGAGTGTAACATTTACTTCAGGTTACCTTTGACATCCTCAATTTAGCCATCATTGCAGAGCACTCTATTTTTGCACTTAGGCCTGTCAATTTGTAAAATATAAACAATAAAAATGTAGATAACATAGTATTCAAATTGAACAGAGAGAGCCTCTCCTCTGCCTGCAGAATGGCTGTTGATATTGTATGTTACTGCTTAATCGGAATGAACCGAGACAACCCGGAACTCTTAATCAAAAAGCAGCACTGTGGTCATTAGTAGTAGTATAAGTAAGTACCAGCTGCCCACCTAAAGCCTCTGAGGTGCCTTGCAGTGAGTTTTGTCCCTTATGCTCCAAGCCCATTAAAAGACTTACTTTACAAATAAAACAATTAAGACCATGAAATACAGGGAGTACTGAAATGCAGCAGCAGCAGCGGGGAGTGCAACCTGCATGGAAGCAGAAGTAAGGAAATGGCAAATTGTGTCGCTGGAATTAAGTTGATCAAGTAAATACAATCGTCTCTAGACTACTACAGACAACTACTAAACTTTATGGAAGGTTTGAAACATCGGACCTTTAGGCAACAAAATGGAGAGGAAAAAGACTGTTAATCCTCCAACTAACAAGAATTAGGGATAAAGATACTCTGTCCCAATAACAAGGGGTAAGTAGGGTTCATTCTTTTCCATCAAATTACTTTCTAGATCTTTGGAAAGAAGCAGAACCCATTCAAAAGAAAGAGACATGCCAATGCATTTCCATTAGGTATTTCTTATGAAACATTTTGACCAGCCGAGTGAAGGCAGCAGGCAGATCATCATAACTTCAGCAGAGCAGCATTCCCATGACTTCTTGGAAAGAAAGGCTCAAATCTGTTAAAGGCAGTTGCTCACAGCCTAAGCTTCATGGAGCTGCCAGAACTTGACTCAGTCCTGTGGAGCCGTGGGGCTGCACTTCCAGAGGACTTGGCAGGCACATGGGTTGCCCTTGAATTTGAAATCCAAAACCCTGTGCTCCAGCCTGCATTGTGCCATCCAGATTCACGCACTAAGCACACTGTGCAGCTTCTAGGACACGCTAGCTTGCTCCTTTGGCAGGCCACACACATAAGCAAATCTGAAAGAACTAATCAGGAGGCCATTTAGCCAGGCCTTGTATACCAGATGTAGGGAATGAGCAACTTGACCAACAGCTAGCTGCCATTAACGCTCTACCTAGATGAAAAGTTACGACAAGAACTTCAGGTCTCTGTAAGAATGTTCAATTGATAGTAGCTCTTTTTAGCATCATCTTAGTATGTTTTGTATAGTTCCAGAAACCAAATTTTAGTCTTTCAAAGGCTGTTTTTCCCCCTGAAGACATTAGAGAGAATCAAAGTCATGGTTATACTGTCTCGGAGAGTGATGTGCTGCATGGCTGAGCTATTCATTTTCCCAAGTATAACTTCAGTATGTCAGTTTTTCAGGTGTTTCCCTTAGACTGAAGAGATGCACTTAAGCATCAGTTCTTCCCATACACAAATAAAAGTGACAGATCAACACTCAAACCTGTTCTGGTGCATTACTTCATCATAATGAACAAACTCAGCAGAGATGCAGAAACAACTCCAGCAGTTCCTGAAAATGGGATATTATTAGTTGACCCTGACTATTGCATATCCTGGCCGTAGGCCAGCTGTATCTGATGCAGAGCTTTGCCTTTCTGCCACATTATTCTTTTGTCCCAGTTCCTCCAGCTTCTTCATCAGCACTTCTATGCGAATGTGTACCTCCACAAGCTTTTCTTTCAGCTAGGAAAGAAAAAGAGAAATAAGAGTATTAAAACTAGAGAAAAATGTCCTAACAATGGATCTTTGAATAATCTGCACCCCACTTCCAGTGGCTAAAGAGCAGCTGACTTTTGAGATGGAAAATTGTACTGGGCTTTAATCTCTATACTGCATCTCTAATATACCCAAAACTGGCACCCAAATCAGAGGCCTGCGCTACAAAGAGGAGAGAGATGAATGTGTGCCAGCATAACCCCTTTCAGGGATGTATGGAAATACTCTCCTTAAGGAGACAGAGTTGCTGGAGCCATACTATGATCAATCCAGTCTTTCCTAGTTTAACTCATTACAAGTTTTTACACATTCATTACAAGTTTTTACACAGCCAGAGACCTTCTTTGACAATATCTGGACAGACCGTTTCATCATTAGCTTAGGAATACATGTGGACAGTTCCTCAAAAAAACTGTTTCCAGACTCTGGGGTTTAAGTTAACACATCCAAAGCGTAAGAGTAAAATCCTGCTGATGTGTCTCAAAAAGCAAAGACCAAATTCTCGCACTTGTTTGAGTCAACAAGCAAACTCTCCACAGTCACGTAATTTGTGTTTGCATCAACTTTAGAAGTCTTGCCTGGATAAGATTTTTGCATTTTAGCCTCACTTGACCTATAAAAACACTCTGATCTTATGGTAAGACACTGGAAGATGACTTTAAAGAGGACAAAACTTAAGAAATGTCACAGGCCCATTTCCATGCTTAGAACAGAAACTAAAAAAGAAAAAAAAGGAAGGAACAAGTAAGCACATAATTACTGGATACACTGGCTGTCTTCTACACACAGCAATTGTATTTGAGCTATAGGACAGACAATTTACCAAGGTAACAACTAACCAAGTGACAGAAAAGAACATCTAATTTAAACACCAAAAAAGGAGGGAGGTTCTAGTGTTGTCTCTGAAACTACAAGTAAACACTGCCATGCTGTTTTGAGCTTACATAGCCATAAATACAACTGCGCTAGAATCCCTTTCGAATTAAATTGCTATTTTAAAAATTCTTCAACAGTAACTTATCAATTCTGGGGACAACATAAGTAATACTTAGGCAAAGTCTGTCTAAATGATTCTTGACTTTTTTCTTTTCAAAGCGTAGAGATAAAAGGGTAACACACTTTTGCCAGAAAATTAGCTAGAACTGGATATGTTTTGCAGATAAGTGATTCTAGAAAATGTTTTTCATATCTCATGCATTTAAGCCAGTCACTGCATTGTAAGTCAGTATTTTCTCTGTCTTAAGCACTTTTTTTAAAAAAAAAAGGTAATTTTATCAATATTTTTAACCTAACATAAAAAAAAAAATAAATCAGCATTTTAAAAATATTTTCCACACAAATTAATGTAGAAACCTTACTTCCTGCAGTTGTTCCTTTAAGGTCACAGCAGGAAAATTCACCTTAGAAGCTTCTATTATCATTTGTTTTTTTAGGAGATAACTGGAAAACAAAAGGGGAAAGGGAAAAAAAAAAAATCACACACAAGAAAAACAGTTAAAAACCCCACAGTTGCATTTGTTATTTAGACAGATTATTTAAGATGATTTTAAAGCAGATACAAAGTTCTTGCCAAAAGTAGTCAATACATTATGAAAATATTAAAAACATAACAATGGGTTTACTTTGAAATCATAAGATCCTCTCATCACCAGCTATAAGCAATTTACAGTTTCTATAGTCAAGTCCTCAATCTATCATGGAACTACTTTGATATCTTACATTAGCTAAGGGAATCTGGAAGTGCAGGAGATTTCAGTATTGCAAACAACTAAACTTAAACCTTGATGATACAGGAGGACACTCAAGAAGTGAAATCAAATGGAGTCAGGCCAACACAAACAATTTAAAGATAGAGGATATTAAAATCCCCCACCAATGCACTCAGGCAAAAGTAAAGCTGCTTTTGTTAGCTGTAGATTAGTTGTACACCCTGTTGTAATAACTTACAAATTCCCATGAAATCATTGACCGTAAGAATACAGTATACGCACCAGAGGATGCTGTCCTTGAAGAAACAGAAGAAGCCTCGGAGATATGCCAGGTCACTGGAGGCAGAATAAATAATGAAGCCCACGACCAAGCCACATGACCGACAGGATAATGCGTTGTAAGCACTAAAAGGAGAAAGGGAAAAATATTATTAAACGGAAGCTTCTGAAACCATAGATACTGCGTGCTTGTCAGAGGACATCAAATCTGCAGTTCTATTAGGAGAGCAAAACAAGACATAATAATGCTTTCTCCTTAAAGAAATAATACATACAAAGAGAATGCAAACGTAAAAAGTTGGGCATGTCGTGCAAGAAATAATGCTCTGTAATAAGTTAAGTTGCAATTAAGGAAGAAACTACATATCTTATTATCATGGAGTGGTTTAGGCTATACTACTCAAACACGATTTAACTGATAAAACAATGCCCGTGCCAGGTCAGAGATGTGAATTTTCCTCTGGATAAAACAGATTATTGCCTCATGCAGAGAAAGGGGGGGTGTGGTGTGTGTGCAGGGCAGGGAAGAAAGTCTTGCATTTAAAAAGTTTCCAACCCTTATAGTTTGTAAAATAGCCTTTAAACATCATTTAAACAAAGTACTGGTTCTGCAAGTCCTCGGGTGATACTTACGTCCTTCCCACCAGACTCATCCCAGCGTTACCAAACCTGTTGCGAACTGCAGGCTTGCGAACAGAGCAGCAGAAGTTACTAATTTTCAGTATAAAAATAACCCAAAACACCAAACAGATAGGCGTTAATTTAGGTAATAGACCTTTTAGGGAAGGAGCATAAGAAAGAGACCTAGAGGCTAGGCTATCTTTTACTGCATTGCTCAAGTGTTCCTCTCTACCTTTGCTGGTCAGAGCAGCACAACTTTTGATTCTGACAAAAAGCGAAAGCTACACACACCCACAAAAGGTTTCTCCATCCGAAATGGCGAAGCATGGGTACAAAAAGCACTTCGGAGTTTACCAAGCCCATGAGAAGCCCCAGCGCACAAGTCAGAGTTGCTCCCGGCTTTGCAGAAGCCCCTTCCCCCCCCCGCAATTTACCGTGGCGACCGCCGGCGGCAGGCCCGACGCCAAAAGCAAGACCGAGGTGAGCTACGCACCATCCCAGGAGGGCTCCCTCGAGGCCGATCATCAGCGAATCCTCCCAGGTCACATCGTTTGTCACTTCTGAGGAGAAAGAGAGACCCGCTGAAAACGAG